AGAGATGGATGCTTGGTTCGTGCCTCCTCCCGCCTTAAATCCCCCCCTCGCTTCACTCTCGGGAACTGTTGTAGATCCTGTAGATCCTAGCCTGTCCCTGCCGCCCCCGGCCACTGCCGATGCCTTCTTCATATCTGCTTCACTTTCAATTGTAAATCTGTCAAATGGGCTAGAACACGGTACCAATTCTTGATTTTTATCGTAAATCCTATGCTTGCTTACACATCCTGGATGGTAAAACAGCTTAATACAATTCACCTGATAGCAAGACTTGCATGTCACCACCTGATTTTTTATTGTCTTTTTACATGTCGAGCATCGATATTCGGCATATTCATCATCCATGCCGATAATTATTGGCCGAAATATCAGCGTAAGCGATCAGTCACCTCTGTTCCACTGTCACACGTCAGCACTTTTGTGTCCACCATTAATGTCTACCTGTCGTGTGAGACTTTGATGTCCCAGACAAGAAATGCACTTCTCACGCCCACAAATCAGCATACCCCAGCTAGATAACACTCATGGCTAATGCCGGTCTATTCCGCTGACTTGAATAACTTTCTATCACTCCCCGTAACGATTTAACCGTTTAAAAGTTATTACTTTTGCGGAGCGATGTTTGACACGTCTTTTCCACTGCAGAGAGAGAGAGAGAGAGGGGGGGGGACAGAGCGGGAGAGAGAGAGAGAGCGGGAGAGAGAGAGAGAGCGGGAGAAGGAGAGAGAGAGGGGGGAATGAGAGAGGGGAGAGAAAAGGAGAAAGAGAGAGGGGTTGTGCGGGGGGGAGAGCGGAAGGAGAGAGGGAGGGAGAGAGCGGGAGAGAGAGGGGGGCGAGAGGGGGGAGAGCTGGGGGAGCGAGAGAGAGCGGGAGAGAGAGCAAGAAAGGGAGAGAGAGCGGGAAAGGGAGAGAGAGAGAGAGAGCGCGCGGGAGAGAGAGAGCGGGAGAGTGAGAGCGGGAGAGAGAGCGGGATTGATTGATCTTTATTAGCTTTCTCAGCTATTTGTAATACAAATCTAGTTTACATTAATTACAATATACTCCTTTAACATTCGCTTAAACGGCACAATTCTTTCATTCCGCTTTATTTCAGCTGGCAAGGCGTTATACATTTT